CAGTGGGGAGATCTCGCTGCAACCTTCGCTTCCCAGATTCAAGTGATTCTCTTGCCTCAGCCTCGGAGTAGCTGGGATTACAGGTGTGTACCATCTCACCTGGCTAATTTTGTATTATTTTTTTAGTAGAGACAGGTTTTCACCATGTTGGCCAGGCTGGTCTCAAACTCCGGGCCTCAAGTGATCTGCCAGCCTTGGCCTCCCAACGTGCTGGGATTACAGGCACGAGCCACTGCTTTTACGTGTTCTTTGTAAGAGATTTTCTGTTGTGATTTGGATGAAAATAGGCAGAAGCTGTAATGAAGGTTTTGAGATTTAGTAACTCCAAGCCCCATCATTTAGCAGGTCCTCAATAAAGGCTGATTTTCCTTTCTATCTTATCATCTTGAAATAAGGTGGGTTTGTTGAAACCCTCTGACTAGATATAGAAGTGAAAGGAAGATAAGAAAAACATGTAACAGCAGGGCTGCAATAAAGTACTCATTTGTAATGTAAGCATTTGCAATGAACCCATCTTTTGCCCTTGGGAAGAATTCTCAAAGGAATCCTGAGATGCTGACTAGATATTACTGAAGGCTGTAGACTGTGTGTAGGAGAATTGGTGATTCTAAATTGTCCTTTTCTTCCAATAAGCCAAACTTTCTCTTGAGGGAGGTGGGATTATAGTTCTTAATTAATGTCAATTTTAATTAACATTTAGACTTTTATGTGATTAAGGAATGCTGTGTCCCCAAATTTTGCATTTCTTATAGCCTATTTTCTTAGTCTATGCTTTTTCTCAATTATTTTACAAGCCAGAGCTCTTTAAGGTAATTGGACATTTCAGCCAGCCTTGCTGTTTATCAGGTGGTAAGCAGTAATTTTAAAAAATTTACATTAGTTAAAAAAAAATCTCATCCAGCCTGGTTCGGTGGCTCATGCCTATAATCCCAGTACTTTGGGAGGCCAAGACGGGTGGATCACTTAAGCTCATGAATTTGAGACTAACCTGACCAACATGACGAAAACCTGTCTCTACTAAAAATACAAAAATTAGCCAGGCATGGTGGTGCATGCCTGGAATCCCAGCTACTTGGGGGGCTGTGGCACGAGAATGCTTGCAGAGGTTGCAGTGAGCCAAAATTGCGTCACTGCACTCCAGCCTGGGCAACAGAGTCAGATTCTGTTTCAAAACAACAACAACAACAACAACAACAAAACAAAACAAAACAAAACAAAACAAAAACCCTCATCCTTTTCACAGAAAATCTAGATAGATAAACAAACTTTCTTTAGGTTTTCTTCTTCTCTCTCTCTTTTTTCCTAAGTGCTATTTACCAATCTTGTTAGCAGCAGTTTATTAATAATTTATTTAATCTGAATTTCTTTGGACAATATTTTGTTAATACCTATGCAAATTTTATTTTTGCAAGCTTGCTTTTCTCTCAATTTTGAAAAAAAATTGTTGGAAAGAGATAATTTATAGCAATTATAATTCTCATAATGATTATTATCCTCATCAGTATTAAAAGATGTGAAACATAAATCTACTGGGAGGGAGTGCTTTGTTAGAAGCAGCAGTTAAAATAATTTTGGAATCAAATAAACAGCTTTGAATCTAGGCTTGACTATTTTCCGGCTTTGTGACTTGGGGCTCAGTGCCTAATCTTTCTCATCTGAGAAATGGGAGTAATAAGAGCATTACCTTCCAGTATGTGTTTGAGATTCTTCCTGAAGACCTGCATATAGGAAGTTCTCATTAAATTATAGCAAATCTGACTCCAGACCATAGAAGGGAAAGGGTGGGGATAGGAGTATCAAATTGATTTTCGGAAGATCAACTGTTGATATATTGGCAAAAACAATGTCTTACAGCAACTTCATAATTTCTAAAACATTTTTAGATACATTGTTTTGCTTAATCTTTATAATAAATGGGAGGTAAGAATTAGAATCGTTTGAATGATGAAGTAGATACCAAGGCCTGGAAAGGTGAAGTGATTTTTCTCTAGATTATACTGTAATTAAGTTGCAGAAAGTGATTTCAGATGCCTGGTAACTGTGTTTAAAAGAACCCTCAAGAATCTTAGAATTTCATAGATCAGCCTTCAAATTTGAATGGAGGTCTCATTATGCGGTCACCAGTATCATGTGGTTCAAGGTTGATGTCCAGCCCAGTGCATGACTGCACCGAGTCATTTTGACACGGCATCTTTTCCACAGTGGTAGGTCCTCTGGAGCCATTGAGTCCTCTGGGAAACATTATAAACTTTTAGATCACGCTTACGTTAAAAGCCAGCTTTAAAAGTTGACTTTGTGTATATTTAAAAGGGGTACAGAAGGAAACTCCAGTAACATTTTTAGTACCTTAGTATTAGCTGATCCTTAATAAAAGCTATAGTTATTTACATAAATACAAAAATTAAGGAGGCAAAATGAACACGTAACAAGAGAAAGCTCTGGATTTTGTAATTCTGTTGTTTTTTATATTACCAAGCAGTTCTGCATAAGGCAGAAACAACATTAATACTACAGTTTGTTAACTCCTATTTTATTCCATTAAAAATTTTAATGAGAAAATGATACGTTCATGTAACTTTTTCAAATAGGACAGGCGTATATAAAGTAACTGAAGTAAATTCCCTTTCATTATTCCTTTTTAAGAATTCTACCTCCTGTTAGCAAGTTGTGGTATGTCTTTTCAGGTTTTTTACTATTCCCATGCTTCCTCATGCACAGATACATACATGGGTTTTTACAAATGGGATGAATAATATTACTCTATGCAATCTATCTAGATTGCCTTCTGACTTCTTTTTTGAACTTTATATCTTCAAGAATTTCCCTAGAAGTATATATAAAATAACCCAATTCTTTTAAATAGCCATATAGTGTTTCATTGTTCATATGGAAATATTAAAACTTAGTCATTTCTTTCATTGATGAATGTTTTAAAATTTTTCTCTATTATATCATTAATATCCATATGTATATTTGTCCACATGTGTAAGTATTTTTGTAGGATGGATTGTTAGAAGTAATATTGTTCCATCAAAGGGCATAATCTTTAACATATTGATGAATGTTGCCAAACTGACCCACAGAAATGCTATGGTTGTTTACAATCAGATGCATAGTGACGAAAATGCCCTTTTCCTTATGCCCTTATCAAACTACATGCTATCAATTGTTCAATTTTGTCTAATCTGATAGGAGATCACTAAAAAAGATGATTAATCTTTGTATTCATTGATCACTTTTTTCTTTTTATGTTATTCCTTTTATTATTTTACCTTATTATATTGAATTGTCTTTTCATTATTGATTTGAAGGAACTCTTCAGTTTTTACCTATTATAGCAGTTAATCTCTTTATGTTATATGTTACATCTATTTCCTTTCAATCTGTTTTGTCTTTTATTAAATATGATTTTTTTTTCCTGGGCAGAAAAGTTTAAAGCATCATGTAGTTATATCTGTCAGTTGATTTCTTGTTTTCCTTGTGGCTTCTAAGTTTTCATTTTTTTTTCCTCCTCAAGTTCAGGTCAGATGGGTAATGTTCCAACATTGTGGCACATTTCACGCATGCATGTAAACACCCAATCATCATCTCTTCTTATGAATTACAGAAGGCTCAGGCTTCTAAGTTTTCTATCTTGTTTAGGAATGATGTCTTCTGGGTTGGGCGAGGTGGCTCAAGCCTGTAGTCCCAGAATTTTGGGAGGCCAAGGCAGGAAGATCACTTGAGGTCAGGTGTTCAAGACCAGCCTGGCCAACATAGTAGCTGTAATCCCAGCTACTCGGAAAGTGGAGGTGGGAGGATTGCTTGAAGGCAGAGGTTGCAGTGAGCAGAGATTGCACCTGGATGACAGAACAAGACTCTGTCTCAAAAAAAAAAAAAAAGAAAAAAAAAAGGTCTATAAATATTCGTATGTTTTTCCCATATTTGTTAAAAATTTTAATGTTATGATTATTAATTCAATTGGAATTTATGACGGAGAGTGGTGGCTCATGCCTGTAATCCCAAAACTTTGGAAGGCAGAGGTTCGTGGATCATCTGAGGTCAGGAGATTGAGACCAGCCTTGGCAACATGGTGACACCACATCTCTACTAAAAGTATAAAAATGGGGCCGGGCGCGGTGGCTCAAGCCTGTAATCCCAGCACTTTGGGAGGCTGAGGCGGGTGGATCATGAGGTCAAGAGATCGAGACCATCCTGGTCAACATGGTGAAACCCCGTCTCTACTAAAAATACAAAAAAATTAGCTGGGCATGGTGGCACATGCCTGTAATCCCAGCTACTCAGGAGGCTGAGTCAGGAGAATTGCCTGAACCCAGGGGTTGCGGTGAGCTGAGTTCGCACCATTGCACTCCAGCCTGGGTAACAAGAGCGAAACTCTGTCTCAAAAATAAAATAAAATAAAATAAAAAAAGTGTAAAAATTAGCGGCATGATGGCACACATCTGTAGTCCCAGGTACTCGAGGGGCTAAGACAGGAGAACTGCTTGAACCCAGAAGGCGGAGGTTGCAGTGAGCCAAGATTTCGCTACTGCACTCTAGCCTGGGTAATAGAGCAAGATTCGGTCTCAAAAAAAAAAAAAAAAAAAAAAAATTGGAACTTATTTTGAAGTATAGCATGATGTAGGAATCTCATCTGATTATTTTTCCCTTATGTTCTACCACAATTGATTTGAAATTCTTTCATTAGTATGCACTACAGTTCCCATGAAAACATGGGTCTATTGCTGGATTCTCTCTTCTGTTTACTGAACTATCTTTTTAGTCCTATGCCAATACATTTTTGTTTAATTACTATAATTTTGTAACGTGTTTTGATATCTGGCATGGAAAATCATTTTTATTGTTCTTTTGCTTTAAAAGTCAGCATTCTTCCTTATTTACTTCTCCAGATAAAATTGGAATCAGCCTTTTAATTCTAAAAATATTTTTTCTCTCAGTATTTGATGGGGTTATACTGAATTGATAAATCAGCATAAATTAATATCTTTATAATGTATTTTTTAAAAAGTTCTGGCAAGTATTCTTGAAGGAAAATTTTGCATGATTTGCTTTCCACAAGTCTGTTCTGGCATGCTTCTAACGATATCAGAATCACCTGGATCAATTCGTGCCAATGTGCATACTCTGTAGTGTTTTCCGCATACTGAGCCCAGTTCAACATTATTGCCACTGTAGTGATGGACACCAGCTTTGGTCAACATTGCATAGTACTCTATTTTGGATTTCCTTAAAGCTGGGAAGTTGTTAGTAAGGATGACCAATTTTGCTTTGCCTTGTCTGATCATCTTAAGAATCTGCTTGTACCCCAGCACATACGTTCCACCTTTCATAATGAGTTGGAGCCTAGAATCAATTGACTCCAGTGACTTTTTCATCTCCTTTGATTGGGATGGTCTCAAACAAGAGCAGCTGCCAAGATGGCCAGGGAGTGAGAAAAGTGATATCTGTATAACATTATATATACAATAAAGATATATATATATATATATATATAGTCTCGGTATTCAGGTCTCCTTTTTTTCCCTCTTTCAATTCATTTAATTTCAACAATCTGTCAAAAAACAGCCAATAAACAAATACTGAATTATATTCTGTTGGGTTTTTTAAAGGCTCTAGACTGTGAAAGCATCTTGTGTGTCTCCCACCCTGACCAGCCTGCTACTATTCCATATACCACAGACCACCCATAGACACAAAGCCAGGGGGCAAGCAGACATGGTCTACTTGGAGCCAGTAGACAGGAGGGCGATGAGTTCTGATGAAGCACTTATGGACAAAATGTAGTTCACTGTGGGGCTGAAGTTCTTCAATATGAAGAAGGAAGCAACAATGACCAAGACCAGGAACCGAGTGTTGTTATAGAAGATGGAAAATGTTGTAGCTTCATAATCAGAAACTTCATTCTTCGTCCACAGGATTCTTTCATCTTTCTCCTTAGGAGACATCTTTCTATTATCGGCTTCAGAAAGTGTTCGAGTCACTTCTTTGGAAACAGCATCCTCCCTCTTCTGTGCTACTTTGTGCTTGAGAACAAATTTCACATTCTTGTATGCAAAGGCTACCAAATATGTGCTTACTAGGGTCATCACACTATACAGAACAGCAGACTGAGTAAGATCCATATGCCATATTCTGCAGTATAACCAGATGGTGATGGCAGACTCTGACTGCTGTTTGGAACTGCCTTTGGGAGCCATGGCGGAGCAGGAGACTAGAAGAGGGAAGGTAGAGCCGGCCCTCAGGTCTCCTTTTCATCTTTACATGTAGGTTTAGAGTTGTCTTCATTATATGTTATGCAAATTATTTCTAGATAATCTATAATTTTATCTTTTTCCTGTTGTTTTTAAATGAGTTACCTACATATGTGCCACAAGCAGGAGGAGATGGCAGAAATAGTAAGTGATTTGCCTGAGTACAACTAGTTAATAACAGAATTTAGATTCTTTTTCCATTGTCCTATTGTTGTTGCTCTCTTTCTCTCTCTTTTATTTTTTGTATTTTACTTTGAGATAGGGTCTCACTCTGTTGCCCAGGCTGGAGTACAAGGGGACCATCTACGCTCATTGTAACCTCCATCCCCTTGGTTCAAGCAATTCTCCTGCCTCAGCCTCCTGAGTAGCTGGGATTACAGGCACATGCCACCATGCCTGACTAATTTATGTATTTTTAGTAGAGAAAGTGTTTCACCATGTTGGCCAGGCTGGCCTTGAACTACTGACCTCAAGTGATATGCCTGTCTCAGCCTGCCAAAGTGCTGAGATTACAGGCATGAGCCACTGAGCCTGTCCTCTCTCTTTTTCCTTGAGATAGGGTCTTACCCTGTCACCCAGGCTGGAGGGTGGTGGTGTGATCTTAGCTCACTGCAACCTCCGCCTCCCAGGTTCAAGCGATCCTCCTGCTTAAGCCTCCCTAGTAGCTGGGATTATAGGCACTAACAACCACACCCAGCTGTTTTTTGTATTTTTAGTAGAGATTCCATTTTTTGTATTTTTAGTAGAGATTGGGTTTTACCATGTTGGCCAGGTTGGTCTTGAACTCCTAACCTCAAGTAATCCACCCACCTCGGCCTCCCAAAGTATTGGAATTACAGGCGTGAGGAACTGTGCCCTGCCTTTCTCTCTCTCTCTCTCTCTCTCTCTCTCTCTCTCTCTCTTTTAATGTAGCTTCAGGTTGACTAATCAATCTGAGTCAAGAAAGTATAGCCTAATCACATAAATCTTAGAATAATAAGAAATCGGAATAAATGTGTAAGGTTCATTTCTCAAATTCCGTCATGTTCAAAATAAGTAATATTTATGTTGATGGAATTTAATAAGTCTATTTTTAACCTAATAGTTCTTTAAAGGCTTCACACAAGTGAAATGTAAGCAAAATTTCTTTAATAGTAATCTCAAATTTCATCTATGAAATAAACCTCTAAAAGGTCATCTTATTCATAAATTTTATATCTCATTAAAGATTGAAAATCCATAATCTCATTATAATCGAACTTTGCATTTGTCTTTTATTTAGTGCAGTTGCAAAACAGAATTGTTTAATCACTGTCAACAGTTGAAAATGTAATGGTAATTTCAGCAACTATTGGTACATTGTGAGTCTATCATCAAGTATTTTAATGCCAGTGTAAATCAGTGATTTCAAGAAACAAATTTTGAAATAAATAAAACCAGAATGTCTTAACAAAACTTAGACTAAAGGCACAAAATGTATAGATGCAGGCTTAATGGTGCACCCTAACATCCATTTCTGCTGGTGGCTTCTCAGGAGGAAGCTTAATGCATCCTGTCCCTTTCCTAGGCAAAGGTCTCCAGTCACTTTAAAGTTAATAGATATGCAGACTAATTCTATTTCACAAGAAGAACCCTGAAAGATTTGACAAACTCTGCATCTTTCCCCCCATTCGTAAGCACAGTGCCTCACACAAGATGCTAGTTATGCCTGTGGGATCAGATCAAATATAACAGTGAGAAATTGAAATTCGTAGTCAGTCCACTTAAATGATAATTCAGTCAAAAATAGATTTGGTAAATTATAAAAACATGGCTTGTTCTAAACACAAACATTTACAAAATGGACTGACTGAGAGATTTAAAGATGAGTGGAGCCAGGTTGCCTGGTATGGAGGCCAGTTGAACACGTAAAAAACACAAAATAAAATAAAGACAGTTTTCTTCTTGATTCAGTATGTATCTGAATTTCCTGCACTTGTGGAGAAAGTCATCGAGTGCTTGGAAAGATCTAGGTGTCTTGGTTGAAGCAGTATAGAAGCTGAGAATTCTGACACTCTTGTTTTCATGGTAGGCTCCTAACCTGGTAATGGGCCAGTTGGATATGAACGCTCACTGACATCCATTGGTATGCAGACGCCAGCTGTGGCATTTCCCTGCAAGTGAAGAGTAGGACTTGAGTAGGTCTTACATGTTAGTAATATCTTTATGTTACTATTTACAGGCGTCTCACAGAATATCTTTGCCTTTCACTTTCAGTATTTGTGGCTCTCTTCTGGTGAAGAGTCCTGGGAAGACATGTGCTGATGGTGACTCAATATATCAAATACCAGTACTATTCTTTGTTTTGTTTTTCTCCATCCAGGTCCTCTTAACAGAAAATTTATCATTTTTTAAAATAAAATGTTTTCATTTTAAAAATGAAAATATTTACATCATTACACATAAACTTCAACATCTTTACTATTTGTTTGTCGTTCTCACTGCTGCCCAGGTGAAACCCACAAGTTCCATCAGACAGGCCTCCTGTCTTCTTTCTTGCATAGGGCAACCACACCTGGAATGAGAGCCACTGGGATCTGGTGCTCAGCCACTGGGCCTGGAAGTAGCTGTGTTAGGAAGATGGTGCCCCAGCTTTTCACCAAGTCATTGAGGCTTCTTTGGCTGATGCAAATCTGCTCTACTGAAAAACCTTTGGAAAGCAGCTTTGCAGAGTGTAACTTGCCTGGTTGGCAGTCTTGTTTCTTTCTTAGCCAAGAAGAAGCAAGGGGCTCATCAAACCAAATTTCAAGTTTCAGCTTCACTTCAAAAATCATGGTGGTTGACGTAGGGATCAGCAAAGTCTTTGAAGTTCTCTGGCATGCAAGGCAAATTATAATTTGGTTCATAAGGGAAATGTTTTTCCTTTTGTGCTGTTTGGTATCCTGGGCACAGAGCTCCTTCCCAGATTTCCATAACCAGCATCCTGGGTACTTTTATATTAAAATTATACCTTATGTTTTATCCTTCTCTTACTGGATATGTTTCATCCTTTTTACTTGAATTAGGCCAAGAGAATACAAATCTAGTCTTGAGTCAAATAAATGTATATTAAGTGGTTATTTGAGAAAGAGGCATTTCATTTTCTTCATTTGTGTTTTTATTTCTAGTAGACCACCAGCAATAAAGACTCTTACAATCAAATATGATAGTAATTCAGGGCCAGGAGAGGTGGCTCATGCCTTTAATCCCAGCACTTTGGAAGGCCTAGGTGGGCAGATCATTCGAGGTCAGGAGTTCAAGACATGACAAGACCCCATCTCTACTAAAAATACAAAAATTAGCTGGGTGTGGTGGCACGCACATATAATCCCAGTTACTCTGGGGGCTGTGGCATGAGAATTGCTTGAACATGGAGGTGAAGGTTGCAGTGAGCTGAGATCATGCCATGCCACTACACTCCAGTCTGAGAGATAGAGGGAGATTTTGTCTCTCAAAAAAAATATATATATATGTGTGTGTGTGTGTGTGTGTTTGTGTGTGTGTGTGTGTATGCTTTGGAGAATTTCTATTTTATGTATAAATATATATTTTTATTTTATTGATTTATCATATATATAACAGAAATTCAACAAAAACCTGACTCTTCTTTAAATCTTACCAATTAATAGAAATAAATGTTCAATTAATCAATCAGCATGTGTATTTGAGTCCCTCTGAGTTTAAAGATACTTAAAGTACTGCTGTTAGACTATAGTGGTATCAGTGCTTCCTAGAACCTGGAAAGAGGTGGCATTCTTATTGTACCAGTTTTGGGCTTAGTTATCTTGGATCATTCTTTACTGAGAGTCAGCTAATCTCTCCTCAGTCCCCTCTTTATCACTGGCCTCAAATACACTGACTATCTGTTGCACTTATGGAAAATAGATTAGTGGGGTGCTCCTGAACTTCTTTTTTAAGTTGAAGTGCTATTGCTGAAATTCATGCAGTACAACATAATAAAGTGTGATCAACACTAAAATAGGTGTTCTGTATTTTTTATTTCTATAAGGTTAAGAAAAACTGTAAGGTTTTTTGTTGTTTTTGTTGTTTTGTTTTGTTTTAGAGACAGGGTCTTGCTCTGTCACCCAAGCTGGAGTCCAGTGACATGATCACAGCTCACCACAGCCTTGATCCACCTGGGTTCAAGCAATCCTCCCACCTCAGCCTCCTGAGGAGCTGAATTTACAGGACTATGCCATTAGGCCTGGCTAGTATATGTACATATATTAGAGACAAGGTTTCACTATATTCCCCAGTGATCCTCCCATCTTGGCCTCCTGAAGTGCTGGGATTACAGGGGTGGGCCACCATGCCTGGCTTAGAAAAACTAACTTAAATGAGAGCATGTGTGGTAAGGACTGCCCTCTCCTATAATTCCCCTATAGTCTCGTAATGCTTTTATACCTTACCAGGCCCAGCATTACCCTCATTTAGTTGGCCTAGGGTAACTTACTCTGTGTGAGTTTTCTTCCAGAATGCAATTCTCTATAACCAGGGGTCAGCAACATTTTTGGGTAAAGTGTCAGATATCTTAGACGTGGAAATGAATTAGTTTTCTAGGCTGCTGTAACAAAATACCACAAACTAGGTAGCTTAAAATAACAGAAATGTATACTGTCTCAGTTCTGGAGGCTCTGAGACAGAATACATTTCATGCCTTTTTTTTTTTTTTTTTTTTTTTTTTTTGAGACAGAGTCTCACACTGTCACCCAGGCTGGAGTACAGTGGCATGATTACGGCTCATTGCAAGGCCCGATTTCCTGAGCCCAAGTGATCCTCAGGCCTTAGCCTCTTAAGTAGTTTGTCCTATATGTGTGTACCACCATGCCTAGTTAATTTTTGTTTTATTTTTTGTAGAGACAGGGTCTTGCCAAGTTGCCCAGGCTGGCCATGCCTCTTTTCTGCTT